CATAAATACATACATGCATACCATACCATACATACCATACATACCATACATACCATACACACCATACATACCATACATACCATACATACCACACATACATTCATAAATACATACAGACCATACCATACCATACAACAAGCTTTTAAAAAACAAGGTTCTACGTATGCTCCTTGATTTGCTACTGTCCATGTTTATCCTTTCATATGTTGGCAGCTGCGACGATGTGCTGCAGGGGAAAGGCTGCGCTTGCCGTCTCCCGTCCATCAGCTCGAGAGCAGGTCCGAAGACAGCAGCAAGGAAGCTCGGTTTGCAAGCGATAGTCTTGATCAGTTCTTGTCTGGGTGAGAACCGTACATGGCACGGGAAGAAGAAACTTCAGGTAATTAAGGGTTAGGGAATACGGGGCTTCCGCACAGCACGGACTGCCATGAACTGGACTCAAATCTGCTGGCACATCACTCGGTCACTACTTTGTTTCCCCCCTGACCCGACGCAGTTTCGTCTGTGCGTATCTGCATCCGCCAATCAAGCACATGGCACCCTTACACTTTCGGCTGTCTTGGTCCAGATGGCCCCCTGGCCTGGCCAATCGTAATTTGTACATACGAATCATACGTCTCTACTCTGCTCACCCGGGTTCGGTCAGACCTTGGCTGTTGCAAATTAACATGTACACAATCATTGGACGATGTATCCCCACCGGGCATTCAAATGAAGCCCGCTTCTTCCATGCTGGAACTTCAACTGTCCGAACCCTTCTCCAGCACGGGCTGTCCGGGAACAAAGAGCTCAGCTCCTTTGTCAATCAATTGTGCAGACGTGCTGATTTCCCTCATCCACTCGGCGGCACTGAACCGGATCTTGACACTACATACAACCATCACATCATGCTTGTCGCCATTTGCTTTCATCAACTCAGGCGACAACGCCTCCTGAAACTTCTCGACGGGAACCTCGATTTTTTCGACATACCCGTCGTCGATGCCCCCTTCATCCTTCTTGTAAACATACACGTTGACTGCATCTTGTGGAATGTAATCGTCGAGGATGGCTCTGTCGTGCCAGTCGTACTTTTGCGCTTTGAACGATCATGTCTTGACCGACTTGTTCTGAGTCTCGTTCTTTACTAGCAGGCCCAACATAAAATCTCCAGGCCAACCACTTGTTTCCCATGGCATTTCGAAGATGACTCTCACCTTTATAGGGCCCTTTCCAGGAACAAGTTCATGAGCTTCATCTTTGGAGACCTTTCTGCAGCACTCCATGGACGATCGAGCTGAGGGCAAAAGCAAAAGCAAGGCAGGCAGTAGCCGAAAACTGTCTGCGGTGAATGCCTAGGTCCAGTCACGGCTCGTATCATGTCTCATCACGGCTGGATATCCAGAGGAAGCGCAACCCAACGGTCATGCGGAAAGTGGAAATTCGCTCGCCGGTTTCGTCTGGTCAGTCGAAGCCGAAACAAAGAGAAGCATACCTACCAAAAGACTCGCGCATGAGCAGATTGGGTATGACTGAGCATGACTTCTGCCAGTGAGGCTGACGACGATGACGACACATTTACCCTGACAATGCCTTGGCAGAAATAGTGCAGAAATCACCGGTCTGAAAGAGAGCAGCCCTCACTCCAGCAATCGGGGCACCGGGCTACCCTCAGACTGGGCGCCCATATTCCCTCAAATCGGCAGTTGTTGCACAAGCCTACACCTGCACAGCAAGATGTTGAGGGGCCGGATTTTGCAAACCCTGAGACTTAAACTTCAAACCCTTGCAAGGTCTTTCCCAATCCTTTGGCGATGTCCTCATCTGATGTGTAGTGCCAAGTATGTCTTCAAGCCAGGAAGTCCGTCTCTCTACTGACTTACCACGAAGATGAAGAACTTCTTCGACGGTGTGGAGGTCCGTTGACCGCGGCCCTCCGAAAGCTCCAAGATTCTCCGAAGACATTTCGACTGGCAGCTTTCTGGAATCGGAGTACAGATCGCCACGCGAAGAGCACCCGAAAATGTCCATCAACCATTGCCCCCCACAGACCCAGAGAAGCCAAAGTCCACAATCAGCCCGAGTGCAGGGATCAGAGCTAAGGGCCTTCGAGCTTTAAAGCCTTTCCACCCCCCACAACTCGACAATCCCAAGCCGTCTTTGGAAGGCTTTCCGCATGTCCTGCGAGAGCCAGGAGCCACGACCGGCCCGGTTGGCTGCGCGGTGTCCACATCCCTGGAACAAAGGAGAAGGGCTGCAAGGGCGGTAGGGGCGTGTTGCTGCGGCTTAGGGTTTCCACTTCGTCGTCCTCGTCGTCGTCTGCCTCCTCCTTGCCACCACCACTGTCATCATCTTAGCATCTGCTTCTGTGGCACCATCAGAATCATGACCCAGTGACCCAAGGTTCGTCGACTTAATTTCCTGAAGCAGGGAGAAAAGGAGTGGGAGCGGGAGAAGGGAGAGTAGGAGGGAAATAGGAGGGAAGGAGAGTCGAGGGAGAGGGGGCGGAGGGAGAGAGGAGGGAGGGAGGAGAGAGAGGAAGAGGAGGGAGAGAGGAGGGAGGAGGGAGGGAGGAGGGAGGAGGGAGAGAGGAGGAAAACACGTTTGACGGGACTTGAACAGCTTTGGGGGCTCAAAGTCGATTGACCAGTCTGGTGTTTCATCTAAATGACATAATTTGACTGCTAGTGGGCGGCAGAACGACTCAAATTATTGCCTTGGTTCTGGAGGTAAGTTAAGGTGATGATCGCTCAACCCTGAACCCCTAACCAAATGAAGCCGTATGCCAGCAGCACGTCCCCCCCCCCTCCTCCGGGCCTTCGGCTTGAGGCCCTTTCAAGGCCATCGATGGAAGGGGCTTTGAGCAGATCGGCAACGTTTCAGATCACGTCTCTCGTGTCCAACCTTCGTATGTTGAGTTTCCAAGAACTCTTTCGGACTTTGGGCTTGGGAGACTTGGGGAGGTTCCGGGGCAAGAGAGTGAGGAAACTTGAATGAAGTATAAACGGCTAACACGAAGGTAAACCCCAAAAGAGGCGTTTACGTTTGCACCCTATTTCTCACTTTCCATGGACCCCACTCCCTTTGTGTTTCAGTCCCAACAAGAACCATACATCAGTAGATCCTGAGTCCCTTAACCCGAAAGCGCATCCACCAATCCTACATCCCCAAGCCCTAGCCGCCCTAGCCTGGACAACTTTTGCTTGCGCAGTCGAAACACGGCAGGCTTTACAAGGCCAAGGCGCGCCTCAGATCGTGTCCGTGCCCAAAGGCGCCGGAGTGGCGAATCCAACTGCTTCATTTTACAAGGCTTCTGTAAGCAAAGGCTTGATGACCATCATCCAAGAAGCCAAACATCTTTGTTCTCCTTCCAATGTTTATGATCAGTCTCTCCTTTGCCTTTTCTTGACGGTTCAGACAAGCTTAGACTCAGACATTATGTAGCGTGGTTCCTTCGTTGTTGCTACCTCATGGCCATGGCCCAGAAAGTCTTACAAGTAGGAAATACTTTAGACTTTCAACAGTTTATCAGCACCCCTTAGGAGCCTCCAGGTGTAGCATCCAAGATCTGATATGCGCACGCGTAAATCGACAAGTCGCGTGGCCCTGGGTCCGACCTCTCTAGAGGTGTCCCAAAAGGCCACACAAATTAAGCTAGTCTGCAGGCTGTCTGCAATCGAAGGTGCCCAGGGCTTGAGCAAGTGAGTGTGACCCCGTTGTTGTACGTGCACGTGTATATCTGTGTCTGCTTTTTTCATTGATGGAATGTATATCTATGTCTATGTTTGGTACATACATGTGCACATATTCGTGTAAACTATATGCTTCCATGTATACGTATATGTATGTATGTGTATATCGTATGCATGCATGCATTTATACACGTGTATAAATATATGTATGTATGTATGTATGTATGTATGTATGTATGTATGTATGTATGATGCATGCATGCATGTATGTATGTATGTGTGCATGTGTTTATGTATGTATGCATGCTGTATGTGTACACATATTTCTACACATGTGTGCGTGCGTGCATGTGTACAATGTTTGTTTGTACGTATCGTATACTTATACGTACATGAACAAGTATATACCTACCTATTTTGCACATGTAGGCATGTGTATACATATAACAGAGAGAGAGAAAGAGAGAGTGCGTGTGCGTGTGTGACAAATTACAGGATGCTACTACTATAGTGTACATATATGTATACATACATATATATATATACACATATGCCTATTATGTGTATATATATATATATATACACGTAAGCAAGTATATGAATATATATATATATATATACATGTACACATACTTTGCTTCTGTATCCATCATCAAAGACATGTGAAGCTGAGATCCCCTATCTTCAAACCCGATCTTCAGCACCTCCGGCAGCCTTGCTGATCGCCCCGGAGATCCGCTTCGAGACGAGTCGTCTCGTTTAAAAACCATCCGTTGGGAGGCTCGCTCTTGCTGGATCAGGCTATCAGGCGTTAAAGAGCTTAGGTCTATATTTTCAAAGAGTGGTCCAGTGTCCTAGTGTAGGAGGGCCGTAAGAGAAGCTCCCAAGGCGGTCGAAGGTTCTTTGGAACCTCCCGAGAAGTCGTCAACGAAGCAGGGGGCGATGCGCGCGGAATCTCGGAGGTGCTCAAGCCTGACTGTGTCTCTGGATTCTCCCTCAGCACAAATCCTAATGATCCTAATGGCCTATGCCTGGAGCTTCGACAAGAACGAAAGCCAAGCTCAGAACCAGGAAGGAAGCCTTCGGGAAAGAGTTCCTCTCTGCCACATATCCAGGCATTGCAAGCCAGCAACCCCCCGAAGTCTTCAATAACAGCCCTCTCAAGCTCAAACTCGCCGCCTGTCCCGCAACCCAGAGTCACATCAGTGAGCAATTGGGCTTGTTTGCAGTGCAGGCGAAGCATGAAGGATTGCTCCTGCGCAAGGCAAACAGTTCGGAAAGAAACGGGAAAGTCTGGTCGGCACTTGTAGTTGATAACATGGTGATGAAGGTTCGACTGGTCCGCTTTCTTCACACGGGACTATCAAAACCTTTTTCAGCTCGCGCGCCTGTGACTGAGATGGTGACGGTAATAACAGCGACGGCGACGACGACGACGACATTGATACTCCATTGCCCATGGGGCGCTTCGGTGTTATTTGATAAAACTTGCTAGGCCTGTCATAGGCTTCTGCCGACAGCACATCTTCCTGGTTCTTCATGTGCCCCGCGGCCTTTGACGCGCATATCCTTTGCCCTTTCAAGGAAACACTATACACAATATCCGACACAAGAGCTCTTAAAGCGTAGTTCGAACGAGGTCTTGGAATTCTGCCCTCTGGGACGGAGCATCCTCACTTCAACTGAAGGCCACTAACCGTCATGCCCCTGCGTTCTTCGTAGCTTCGCTGGACCCCTCATTACCCGGAAACCCCTCCCGACCCAGCCCAAAGAAAAGGCAGCCCAGGCACTCGTCTGGACGGGAGTTGAAGTTCCAGCTCATCCTCGGCTGATGGACCATATGTCGGTGGTTTCTGTTAAGGATTCGGGTTTCGAAGTTTAAAGCTTCAATTCATTAAGTTTTGGGGATTAGGGTTACGAGTTTGGTGTGTCGGGCTTCAGGGGGCCATCGACGCAGGATTCTCAAAGCCAAACAAAGGCGGCCATTTAGATACCAGGGTTCTTGTCATACTGGTACGTAACGGTAACGATTCAAAGTCATGCCGAACGCCTCCCATGCACGGAATCCATGCAACCAGCAAATACGCCGTGATGTTGAGCCACACAAACACCTCGGCACTAAGATAACTTCCTTCAGCCCGGTCCACCCACAAGGGCCTTAGCGGAAGGGGTGCTCCACGAACTGCAATGTAATTCTTGTCAAGCGTCATTTGGCTCATGCCGTTCAACCGGATCCTAAGTCTTGTCCTCGCAAAACCCTGCAAGCACCTGAGAAAAATAATGCACAGACCCCTAGACTCAACACGTGCGCACTCTCGAGAAAGACAGGCAGACAGCCTTGTCCAAAGAACCCAAACACTCAAGCACCAACTTCGAAAATATAACTCGACAATCCGTCAACCCTAAGGGCCCAAATCCAAACCTGAAAGCTGCAAAAAGCCGAGGACGCAGCTGCCTCAAAGCGCTGCTCAGCGTGCGGGCCACGGGCTGCTGGGGGAACTGACCTCCAATTTCTTATCGAAAGATTCTGCGGGCTCCATTAAGGGATTTATACGATTTCCTTCAGGGGTTCTCTATGGGAGTATGCCTGCTTGCCTTTAAGTTGAAGTCTTCTCTGTTTTGATGTTTACGGGCTTGGAGTTCTCTTCAACCCGAAACCGTTCACGGCTTGGGGAGTTCGGGGATCTGGGGATCCCGATTGATATGCAGATTCCATGGACTTGACCGTTCATGTACCCCCGACGGACGGAGGGATCGGATTCTGCAACCGAGAATTTGACTGTCTTTCTGGCCGTTCTGAAGCAAAGCTCGGTGACCTCTGTTGTGATCATGGCCTTGATTTGCCGAGCAGACACTGGACTTCAGATCTTCACCTAGGTTCCCTAGCACCCTTTTTCCTACTCCTTGGATTGAATAAGGGACCCCAAAAACAAAAAGGGCAAAAAGGCTACTACTGGGGAACCTAGTCACTGGTCTACGAGCACCTTCCTTGTGTGATTCGTGTTCGTCAGGCTTTGCAAATCAAGCAGCGAGCAGTGAGAATTGGATGTGGTTTTTAATCATAAATATATGGAGAGAGCGAGAGAGAGAGAGAGAGAGTATACATACACATACATATCTATTGCTACTCGTCATTCCGGTTGGAAATATGGTCAAGACAAGTCGTGACCATATTGCTCCTGCGAGTAGCTACCGTGGCTCATTGTGTTCCGCCAGCCAGTCGGACTACAGTTGTCCCAACCGGAATTCTGACGACGCCTTGCCTTGAGCAAAGCCAGGGACCATCTATCATGATCCGCAGACGGTTCCGAATCCTCCACATAAGACTCTGCATTAGACGTGCCGACCTTTCCCACAGCCACAAGAGATCCTCTGCAACATGCTTGAAAGCAAGCTGTTGACAACAACCGGAAGAGCGCGATACCTCTAAAGTCCGGGAAATGCTGAATGTCAGCATCGAAATGCCCCTCCCCCCGTCATTTCAGGAGGATGCTCATCTTCATAATGGTTAAGGAGTAATTAAGTTAGGCTCTGGAAAAACCACTCCCAAATTTCAGACCCCACCTCCGTCAGACATCCGGCGATCGTCAGTGCGGGAACCTGCTTTCCCCAAAGCATTGCGGGAAGAAATGCGCTGGCAGCAGTGATAATGCGAGCGAATCATGATATTAGGTATAGCTGATTGCGACAGTTAAAGCAACCCTTGCCATCATAACACTAGCAGTACGAACATTTCTCGGGGCAGCTGTCGTAGCAGCACCACTACCGATGGCAGTGGCAGCAGCGGCATTTGGGGCATCATTGATCGTGGTGCAGAGTTCCCTTCACGTAGTATCCTTGTGCCAACGAGCATATGGCCCGGTGAGACTCGGCTGGTCCCTCAATCACTCCCTTGACCGTAGGCCCATGCCCTCGCGCTGCCTTTCTTTTCCGCCGCAACTGACGAGGTCCGGGGTGAGACGATGGACACTGGGCAGTCCCAGTAACCCCAAACCAAACCGAAACTAGCATATGAAAGTCCGCTTCTGTGTCTCCTAAGCTCAGAAGCCTCTGTTGAATCGCAGCTTTCCCCGAAAGGTATGGTGCAGGGCTTAGGGTTAATGATAGGAAAACCATAACAGGCACTGCATCCATGAACTTTGTAGTGCTCAGGCCCGATTTGCTTCGGGTGTCGGGTTTCGGAGCAGACGGAACGGAAGTTTTCTGGGCATAAGATACTGCTACAATTTTTTGACTCCCCGCACGCCCTAGACTTCGAAATTTAGGTCAGGAGCGGGTGGTGGCGGTTTTGTATTTCAAGTGTATCCAACTTTCATCAGAATGAGCTTTCCTTTGCGGTTTACTGCTCTAGCTCACTAAGTTTTGCGTGCTTGCCCGAAGTTGACTCCTGCGGCGACTTGCACTCTCGTTGGAAAGCAGGGGAGGGCACCTGACGGTTGTTGCGTTTGACTAGCGGGGCGTGACAGCTACGAGTCGACTTAATACCAACTTAAGTTGGCAACCCTCCAAACCTTGGAAAAAGGAACCCTGGGAGCGCAGAGCGCATCCGAACTCAGTCCAACATACGCCTCACCTGCAAAGAAAGGCAGGGACTTTCCTGCGGAAGAAGCCTTGGGGGAACAAAACGTTCAAGGTGCAGCACTACCTGACGTTATTTTGACATCAAGTGTCATCTTGCATGAAACAGACTTAATCATACCAGTGCAATTAGTCCCTTCTGTTAGGCGAGGGCCAACAGCTTTCTTCCTCCGTCCTTCAAGGAGGGTTGCGGGGTCTTCTTTTGCTGCAATGCTCGAACTGAACCGCTTAGGTTCTGAGGTTTCTCTGCCGAGGGACACGTCACAACTTCGAAACTTACACGCCAAGCTACGCAGCCTAAACTCGAATGAAGCAGTCAAGCGATCTGGAGCCAAAGCAAGCGGCCAGCCCGTGCGCAATTCGCAGCCTCACAGCCAGAACCAGATGCTTGCCTCAACAGACCCTGAACGCCGAAGCCCACACCACAGGCACTATTGATGGGCTGCCAAGCTACGTGCCGTTCACGTTCGGACCTCCCGGGCCTCACCAGACGAGCCAGGACTTGAAAATGATGGAAGAACTTGTTAAATCTCTGGTCCATGTCATGGGAATCGTACATGATGTAAATACACTCACTCAAACTGATTTGGAACCCATACTTGCCCTCCGTCGAAGTTATAATAGAAGTGCAGGAGGGTCTACGACGAAAACGTAACTTCGGCCGGTCTGATCGCAAGGCGCAAGTCGAGCTAGCTCCGATAGCTCTGAAACTAGGATAGGAAGCAGGGCTGGCTGCCCGTGCTGTGAGTCATCGGCGTTTTCGAGGGAAGCCCAGTATGAATGTCTGCAGAAAAAAAAGCTTGCCGCAAATCGCCATTGATCTTACACGGCCTTCGGCTTCCTCCAACTCTACAGAATGGCTCCCGGCAAGTTCAGGACGCATGGTAAGCCATGACTCTAGACGAGTTAGAAAGTGTCGGGTCCGAGATGCTTGCAGACCCGGCGCTGGATTCTGCTAAAGAGTTGGATTCAAGTTGCCGCAAATAGGCTAGGGATGTATAGCAAAAAACTGCATTCTGCATTACGATATCTGCAACCACCTCCTTTTGCAAGAGTTCGTGCGCGCCCTGCCCCTCTGTGCAGGGAGCGAAGGAAGACATATTGGAAGTGCTCACGCCTCCTGCGCCGGATCCTCCGCTGCCATATACATACACACGCACAAATCCCGCACATGCCAGAGCCAAACACCTCTGCACTTCAAGGCCTGCACAGCTCATCGCACTTCACAACCCAAGCAACCTTCAGGCTGTCACTTCTAAGGGCAGGCCCTTTCCGAAGCTAGAGGGCGCACCTCCGGGGCCCTCCGTCCTGAGCAGAGACTTAGGTGGTTGCCCCAATTGCAGAGATTGGGATTTCGGGTCTGAGGTGTAAGGCTATTCTAGGGATTCATTGGGGGCCATGGGCCATGGGCTTTTGGGCTAGGGTCAAGCAAACTGCTCTGCCGGGAGCTTTAGGCTCGTTTGATTGCGGCACGTGTGATCCCCATCACACACTCGTGTGAAGCCATATTGAGCACAGTTCCCAGCTTACTTTTCTTTCTGATCGGGTGCCGTCGTCGTGCAGGGTACAGGTTTTCAAGGTTGACCAGTTAGATCTCTCCAGACGCTTGACCCCAAACCAAGACCTAAATGCGTGGAGCAGCTCCCGATGTATCAGATTTCAAACATTGGATCCTCCGTGGTGTCGCCAATGTAGGTATGCTTAGAGACACTGGTTGAACAATGTGCAACGATGATCATTCTTGTGTCTACACTGCTACTGCGACTGCTACTGCTATTGCTTTTGCTACCACTCCTACTACTGCTACTACTGCTACTGCTGCTGCGACGACTACTGCCACTACCACCACT